CAGCGGCATGTAAAGAACCCACACAGGCATGCCCTGGGCTGCGGAGGTTACCATTATTTTTTTGTGTATAACATGCTGCACTTGTATAAGACGCACCTGATTTTTAAACAGGGTGTTTGCAGGAAAAAGTAGCATCTTAAACATGGAAAAATACGGTATATCTAAAGTTTATTGAATAAGTTATACAGTATTACCCTATCAGCCACACAAAAAAAAACAACAGTTAAATTCCTACGCTGTGGATTTTCCCCCCTCCCTGAGGTGAGGATGACTTCAGCATTTTTGAGGTTCTGAAGGCCCCTAAAAACCCAATTATGTCAGGGGAAGGTGAACTAGTGATGTTACTCTATTATTATTATTATTATTATTATTATTATTATTATTATTATTATTATTATTATTATTATTATTATTATTATTATTATCAATATCCTTTTGTCTATTCTTGTTACCTGTTTTATAGTATTTTTAATGTTTTTAATATTTGTTCATGATAATGATTTTAGATATTTAGTTTTAGTTTTGTGATACGTTGTCCATAGTCACTTGCTATGAGACAAGTGGCTACATAAATTATATAAATTGGAAAACTTTCACGGAATGCTAGTGGGCCAACCTGTGTACATATACAACTTCATGTATTATTTTTTTTTAATCACCGGATAACTCAACAATTGATCATTTGCAGTTGAAGATGTGAATTAAGATAATTTAATAGCATTGCATGTAATACAGAAACATTATTAAAATATGTACCTGTAGGTATGCAAGCCATCTTGCCTGAAGGAGATATTTAAATTGATAAACCATTTGTGTCATATTAACAGAATCAAAAATTACCATTAATCTTGCTACGTGCTGTATAAATATTCAACCAGTAAATATCTTCTGAAAAAAATCTAGTGGGGAGAAAGTTTTAAATAGATGCAGTAAATCTAATCTTTGTTCTACCTGTAAGAGAGATCATCTAAGTTTGGGGAAACTAATAAATGCCAACTTAGCATTTATTAGTTGCAAGTAAGCACCTTCTGCATGTAACCTGTTGAGCTATTTGCTAGATGATTTTGCTCAATAATAAAGTCCTCAACAGATATTGAACATTGCTAGATTAGACATGTACTGGTCATTTCAACCTTACTTACTTCATTAAGAAATTTATTTTGCTATCATTTTCTTCCTGGGTGGTTTTTTAGTTGATCTGTTGTTTCTTTTGTCAGCTGTTCCCAAAAATTTGAATAGATTATTATACTTACTGTAAGTTTGGAAGCCTGTTTGTGAATGGCAATGCTCTTCCAATTTCTGCTTTTCCTTACTTGATTTTCTACTTGAGTCTATTTTTCATTTTCTTGGTTTTCACCTGAGACTTTACTTTGTTTTTTCTCTTATTTATAAAATGAGTCTAGATTTGGAAATGGTTGTACATTAGTAAAATATTATCAAATACTATACTATGTTTTTCTGTAGTCCAATCTTGACTACTATGTTTCTCTGAAAATAAGACCTGGTCTTATTTTTTTGCCTCCAAAAGAGGCATTAGGTCTTATTTTCAAGGGATGTTTTATTTTTCCACTGTCTCACCTCACAGTGACAGAACCAACAGCCCTGTCCAGCAGGAGCCCGCATGGTCGCAGCCAGCCCACTTCTTCTGCAGTTGCTTGCCACCGATCTTGTATGATCTCACAGTACTTTAGGCCTCTGTTCTCTGCAAATAGAGGCCTGGATGAGATTTGCGGCAAAAGGCTTTGCAAATGGAGGTAAGGGCTGAAACATCAAAGCCTTCCCTCCATTTGCAGAGCCTTTTGCCATCTTTGCAAAAAGCCTCTGCAGCCAAGAACGGAGCCCCAGGTTGACATGCGCATTGTCCCCAGGCTCTGTTTCAGGCCTTTCCTGAAGGCCTCTGCTGGCAAAGTGAAACCTGGAGATAACGCACATGTCAACTCGGGGCTCCGTTCTAGGCTGTAGAGGTCTTTCCTGAAGGTCTCTGTTGGCAAAATAGAGCCTGGGGGTGATGTGCGCAAGCAGCAATGAGCAGCTGCAGAAGTGGGCCAGGGGCAGCCACGTGCGCTCCTGCTGGATGGGGGTTTTGTGCCATCACTGCAATGTGAGGCAGGTGTTGGGGTGTGGGAGGTCTGACTGTGGGGGCCCTGAGGTAAGTGGGTATGGGGCACATGGGGCAGCTTCACCTCCTTCCCCCACCTACCCCCACCTTGTGGCGGTGGCACCGCGAACCAGACGGAATGGGTAGATGGCCAGCTGTGCGGGCTCTTAACTAGGGCTTATTTTGAGGGTAGGGCTTATATTAGGCACACCGGTAAAAATCAAGCAAGGCTTATTTTCAGGAAAGGTCTTATTTTCAGGGAAACATGGTAGTTTGATAAGAATTGTCAGTAGTTCATTTGAAGTAGATATTCTTTCAGTAGTAATTAACCAGATGACCACTTTGTGGGAAAATTAAAAAACCACATGTTATTCTGCCAAGGCTTCTGTATTGTTTTGCAAACAGGAATCATATGAACGTCTCAAATTTGCCTCATTTATTAACAAGGATCCCAAAGCTATGTGGGTGGAAGGGGTTGATGTTTATTATCTCCCAGCAATAGCTTTCTCCTCAGCAACATTTGGAATATTGGATGTCCTCTTATCTATAATGTTGATAATATCTGTCCAAGAATGATAAAAGCCAAGAGACCATTCACATGGTGTGTTTTTTCCTTTTCATTTTGTTTCATGTCACTGCCCTGGTCACCAGAGTTTACTGGGATTACACCCATGGGGAAAAAAGACCAGCAATTCTTGACTGTTTTTGAGATTTAATGTATGAATCAATGTCTTCAGTTACTGGGAATAACCCATTCTGTTTGTAACTATCTTTAGAGAGGACCATTGTTTTAATGTCTGAGGCTTTTCTTTATCAGTTCAGTTTCCAAACACCTTTCAATAAGTGCCTGTAGAAGCTCTACAAAAAGTCTGAATTTAGAAATCCCCTTTTTATAATATTTCTGAAACATTGTCTAGTTTAGATAGCAAATTTCACAATCTTCCAATTACTTTATGTTCAGTTGTAATCTTCTAAATGGAATGTTAAAGCCCACATATTTAACACCAATCATACACCAACGCAATATTGTAGCTAGGCTTATTTTCAGAGTGTTCAGATAATTTATACGATTTCTATTTTTTTTTACTCATTTACTTTCCTCCTTTTAAGCAACCTAAGAGTTTTGAAATAATTTGCTTTAGAGATTATGCTCCAAAAGAGAGTTAATGTAATAAAAATTAAGACGTAAAAATGCATGTAAACAATGGTTGTCTCATGTTTCACATCCCCTGGAAATCAACCTCTCAGCCATGCTCTAAACTGAAATCTCCATTTAATAAGATAAAATGACACTTAAAATATCTATGGAAGTTTCATCTGTAATAGTTTGCTCGTATATAAATAATTACTTAGGCTATAGTTTTTGACACTTGTATGAGAAACTTCTCCGAATCTTGAGTAGCTCATTTAGGAACTTCATTATTGACTTTTCCTGTCTTCCTTTAACTTATTGAGACTACCTGAAAATCCCATTAAGTTCCAAGGGCTCCTTCCAAGAAAAAGAACATAACTTTAAATTCTGGATTTGAAGTCTAACTTTTAATGCTGTTTGGAGTAGGATGTCATAGAAATAATAGAACCCATGGTATTCCCTATGACATTCTATGGAAATGAAAGTTGTCTTTGAGAAATCACAATAGGAAACTATAGGGAGACATTTTTGAAAATTGGAATTGGAGAACATTCCTAAGAATACCATGAACAGCCAGGAAAACAATGGATCATTGAACAAATAAACTCAGAGTATTCAGGGCACAAAAGACCAGGCTCAAATTATCCTGTTTCAGATACATTATGTGAAGACCTAGCTCTCTGAAGAAGTCTTTATTAGTGGGAAAGGTACAAGGAAAGAGAATAAGAGGATCACCAATGGCAAGGTAGATAGACTCAATTACAGTGGAAATAAATGAACTACTTGAAGAACTGAAAGACCAAGTCAGGGAGATAATCATGGAGGGAAAATCTATGTGGTTGCTAGAAATCAAAAACAGTTTGATGGCACATAATCAGTCAATAACTTATTATAATTTCTCTCCTCCTGGTATAATTTTTCAAAATTTTCAACATTAAAACTGATGTTATTGTTGGAAGCTTTTTCATCTGACTAATTTTGATACTCTATCTTTGTATTTTTCTAATCCATCCTCCATCAGCTTTGTAATAATCATTAAAGCAATTGTGGTTTTGGTGAGCTAATTTGATGGAATATTGTAGTAAGGATTCCCGGGAGGGAGGGAGTACATTCTGGAGGAATAAGAGACAACTCAGTCCAGATATTTTGTGTGAGAGAAAAAGGGTGAAAACAGCACCTTCATAATAATTTTCAGAGTATATGATAAATGCAGAGTAGAGTACTTCAGTTTGGCAAGAATCTGTCTATAGGTTTAGAAACAATAAAGATCTCAGCTTTGGTGTTTTGGGGCAAGACAGCTGCTTTAATAGCTGTAGCACATATACAGAGATAGTTGGGAGCAGCTGCATCCAAAGAAATATTACCTTTGTTTGAGCTAATATGCAACAACTTTGCACAGTCCTAGTAATCAGTATTTTTATTACATTTCTTTTTATTGCAAAGATTTGTATGCTGCCTGATTCATGAGACTCTATGTAGAATGACTAATCTGTAACCACCCTGCTAGAAAATGGTGGAAAACATGTTTTCTACAGACAATAAAAATATTAAAGCAATACTTTTCAATGGTTAATTTGTTTTTAAGGAAATTGCAAGTATTAAATCACATAAATTCTCTTAATATGATTGCAATCTAGCCCTGTAGATAAATTCTGATTTGGCATTTGAGCAGCCAAGATTGTTAAACTTCGCATGGAACAGTCAGCTATCCCTTTCATTACATCTTCCTTTTCTGGATTTTAATAGCTTTACTCAAGGGATTGACATTTATTATTCAATCTGAGGTTTCTTTTCAACATTTTGACCCTGATTGCTCAATGGAACATGGCTTTCTATCCAGTTCTCAAAATACACAGGGGAGAAATTGCTTAAATGCCTTTCTATATTTCCTATCTTCATCTCTGTGTCTGGCTAAAAGATATCAGCAGGAAACAACATTATCGCATTACATGGCTCAGCAGTCTTGTACTCACCCACACACGGACCAGTCCCTTTGCCTCACTGCATTCTGATGTCAGGCCAAAGCAGTAGCAGCTGTTGCAGCCAAGAGGGTTTCTGGCAGAGAGTCCAAATCGGCCAGGTTTGCACCTGTCACAGTTGAAGCCTTCCACATTCATCTGTTAACAAAAAAGAAGA